TCACTGATGTAGTTGCCTAACATTTCATTACAAAATTCTTAGATCTCTTCTTGCCAGGGACTGGTCAAGCCACCCGTGTATCAGTTCCTCATTCCTTATCCAGTCAGCTATAGCTGGGTAGAGGGGACGGGGTTGTGGATGGGGGGGAAGTGGTTGTTTTTTAGAAAGAGGACTTTGGGTGAGCAAGCACAGTGATTGAACATCTGTAGTACATTCATACACAATTTCACTTAACAAACCTTTTCAGGAACATTTTAAAGGTATAATTTGAGATCAGTTGTTTTGTGTTGAATAGGAAGGATTGCCATTTTTGACTTTTGAAAAATGTTGGGAGTCAAAGGAGGATATACATGATAAATATCGAGTTCAGGATAGTGGTTATTACCTCTGGGTGGAGGGGGATGGATATGAGTAGAGATAGACACACGGGGGACTTGAGTTAAATTGGTTATAGTTTATTTTTTAAACCGAGAGGTGAGTACGTGGGTGTGTATTATATTATTTCTTATACTTTTTGGTATACCTTAACTATTTATAGTAAATTAAAACGCAGTAAATAAGAAAGTCTGTTTTGTGGATGATTGATGATCATTTAAATTTAGACCTTGACAGATAATGTCTCAGAAAATAAAGTAGTCTGACAGGCTACTGAAAATTTGTTAACGCTTTCCTGAATGTCAAAATTGTTGACAGTGTGGCTGTTAGCTATTATGCCATGAAAAATACCAATTCATAAAATAACTTTAATTTTTTTTTTTATTTTTTTATAATTTTATTTATTTATTTTTCCCCCAAAGTCCCAGTAGATAGTTGTATGTCACAGCTGCACATCCTTCTAGTTGCTGTATGTGGGACACGGCCTCAGCATGGCCGGAGAAGTGGTGTGTCGGTGCACGCCCGGGATCTGAACCCGGGCCGCCGGTAGTGGAGCGCGCGCACTTAACGGCTAAGCCACTGGGCCGGCTCCTCTTTTCTTTCTGTGAAGACACTTTTTCATTGTACTTGCTCCTTAGTAATTCTTTTTTTTATTTTTATAAAAAGTGATATTTTATATATTTTATATATTTTTACATAAAGAACAGACCTACTTAAATACATTCTATTAATATTACTCACTTAGTGGGCATGGGATAACCAGGGGTTTTGAAAGGGGGGTTATTAAAAAATTGAGGTGCTCCGTGAGACTAAACATATTATAGAACTAAATATAATTATAAACCTAAGCTAGGATATAATTCTTTCATGTTATCTGAAAATACTTTTAATTGAAGTATAATCTACATTGAAGAAGTGTATAAGTGTACAGCTCGATGAAGTCTCATAAACTGGACACATTTATGAAATCAGCACCCAAATCAATAAACAATATTATCAGTACTTTAGAAGCCCTTCCTTGCTCCAATTCTAGTCACCCCCTCAAACTTTATGCAATAACTGTTCTCACTTCTAACACCGTAGATTACTTTTGCCTATTTGATACTTTATAAAAATGGAATTATACAACACATACACTTATTTCTGGCATTCTTCACCTAACATGTTTGTGACGTTCAATTATCTTGTTGCATGTAGTTGTAATTAGTTGATTCTCCTTGTTAAATGGTGAATATACTATAATTTATTTACAGGGTGAAATTCTACATAAATGTCACACTCCTAACGATTAGTCATTTGTATTTTGTATTTGAAGATGATGGACCATTAATAGGGTTTTCATTTTGAAGCAGATATAGATTCTTTTCTTTTTACTCATTTACACTCTCTCAGCCTTATTGGTGTTAGCCCCTAACCATAGAGATTCTGAATATGTTTGCAGTTTTTGGTAACCTAATCTATTTCTCCATCCCATTTGGAAAATTGCTGATTACTATATATTTGAGCATTTATTTTCGTTTTAAAATGAAGTCTTCCCAAAGAAAACTTTTGTCTAATCATTGACAGATTTAGTAATATAGAGTCACTTCTGTTTGTTTGGTTACCATTTTGACAGTTGGCTAGACCAAAACTATCTTTATGAGAAGGAGAGTAAAATGAGTTAATTTTTTGAACTGTGTTAGCAGCTCTGATTAAAGTTTTTATGGTTGGAAAAATTTTAAGCTATTGGCATATTTGTTGATTTTAGTTTTTCTACCATCTTTGTGTGACTGTTTTTAAAAATCTAGATTGGCTTTTCTTAGAACCATATTGTACAATCTATGAAAAATTTTAGAACATTTTTGAAGTTTTTTTCTAAGCAATTTATAAACCAGGATTATTTACTATAGGTGAAATTAACTCCCTTAAAAATTAATTATGCCTTTAGTTTTATGTATTTGGACTTAGTAGGTAGGCTTTTCCTTTTCTTAAATTTAAATTTGGGTCTTTAATATTCAATATACTGAATTGCCTTTGCGGATGACTAATTGAAGAAAATTATTTTATCAAATATAATAAAGGTTTAATGTATTTATCATGTAAAGAACTCATCAGGGCTGGCCTGGTGGCCGAGTGGTTAAAGTTCCGTGCGCTCTGCATCAGTGGCCCGGGTTCACGAGTTCGGATCTCGGGCATGGACCTACTTCACTCATCAGCCATGCTGTGAAGGCGTCCCACATACAAAATAGAGGAAGATTGACACAGATGTTAGTTCAGGGTGAATCGTCCTCACCAATAAAAAAAAAAAAAAAAGAACTCATCAAATTGGTAAGAAAAGCATTAAGATCCCGGTAGATAAGTGGGCAAAGGACAAGAAAATTCACAAATGAAAAGCTAAGGATCTATGGCAGAATTTTTAGTCCTGCTAGCAATCTACTAAATTCAAATGAAAGTAACCATTTTCTTCTAAATCAGCAAAAGTAAAAAGAATCGATAATACTCAGTATTAAAAGACATTAATAAAACTGCTAGGCTCATTTTATTGTAAGTTGGGAAACAGTTCATCATTGGATCTCAAGAGCAGCATGTTCTTCACATTCTTTAGTTCAGTTTTAACACACTTTGTAAATCCTAGATAAATAATCCAATGAGCAAAAATTCGTATACACAAAGATGTTTATTTCAGTGTTATTTGTAATAGAGAAAATGAGACATAATATTGTATTGGTAATCTATTGCTGTGTAACTCTACTTCCAGGATAGTTCACTCACATGGCTGTAGGTAGGAAGCCTCAGTTCTTTGCCACATGGGCCCCTTCGTAATGCTGCTTGACTGTCTTCATGACATGGCGGCTGGATCCTGGAGAGAGAGAGAGAGAACAAGCAGTGCCTTTTATGACCTAGTCTTCAAAGTCACACACTGTCACTTCCACCACATTTGATTTGTTAAAATCAAATCACTAAGTCCAGCCTACATTCAGTGGGGGAAAAGTTAAGCTCTCCTTCTCGAAGAAAGGAGTATCAAAGAGTTTGTGGATATGTTTTAAAACCACACAAATATCCAACTGTTAAGTAGGACGCAAAATTGAAATTACAGTGATTACAGTAAAAAAACGAAAGACTAGAAGGGACTATGCAAAACATAATGATTATGTTATGATTTTGAGAGTAGGGATGAGTTTTCCCCACCTGTATTTTCCAAATTTTCTGTGTTATGTGACTTTTATAACAATAATTCCTCTGTATTCATAGGAAAATATGATTTTATCATCAAGCTGTCTAGTCAGCATAAGCAGATCATGATCTTTCTCTTTGAGTCATGATATAATTTTTTTCCTTGCATTTTTTTATTGTGGTAAGATACACATAACATAAAATTGATCATCTTAACCATTTTTCGGTGTACCATCATCACCACCCATCTCCAGAACTATTTTCTTCTTGTAAAACGGAAACTCTATACCCATTAATAACTACCCATTTCTCCCTTCCCGCAGCCTCTGGCAACCACTGTTATACTTTCTGTCCCTATTATTTTGACTAATCTAGGTACTTCATGTAAGTGGAATCATATAGTATTTGTCTTTGTAACTGGCTTATTTAACTTACATAATGTCCTCAAGGTTCATCTGTTTACAGCATGTCCAAATTTCCCTCCTTTTTAAGGCTGAATAATAATCTGTTGTGCCAGCCCCGATGGTCTAGTGGTTAAGATTCAGTGCTCTCACTGCCGGGGTCTGGGTTCGTTTCCTGGTCAGGGAACTACACCACCCGTCCAATGGTTGTCATGCTGTGGCGGCTGTGTGTTGCTGTGATGCCAAAAGCTATGCCATGGGTATTTCAAATACCAGCAGGGTCATCCATGGTGGACTGGTTTCAGCAGAGCTTCCAGACTAAAAAAGACTAGGAAGGAGGACCTGGCCACCCACTTTCAAAAAAGTTGGCCATGAAAACCCTGTGAATAGCAGTGGAGCATTGTCTGATATAGGACCAGATGATGAGAGGATGGCGAAAAAAGACTGGGCAGGGTTCCACTCTGTTGTACGCAGGGTTGCTAGGAGTCAGAATCAACTCCACGGACTAATATTCCGTGGAGTTGTATGTATTCCGTTGTATGTATATACCACATTTTACTTATCTTTTCATCATGGACATTTGAGCTGCTTTCATCTTTTGGCTATTGTGAATAATGTTGCTATGAGTATGGGTGTACAAATATGTCTTCAAGACCCTGCTTTCAATTGTTTTGTGCTGGATCATGTGGTAAATTTTTTTTTAGTTTTTTGAGGGACTGCAGTACTGTTTTCCACCGTGGCTATACCATTTTACATTCCCGCAAACAGTGCACAAGAGTTCCAGTTCCTCCATATCTTCATCAACACTTCTTTTCTTTCTTTCTTTTTTTTTTTTTTGATAGTAGCTGCCCTTGTTGTGTGAGGTGGTCGTGATATAAATTTTAATGGTTTAATTTTCCAAGAAAAAATAAACTTATTTGGTTATCAGAAACTCTTAAGAGGGTATAAAGATAACTTTTAAAGATGATTAAATTCTTTTCTGACTTTCATGAAAGGCAAGATAAGTCAGGGCATTTTCTTTACTAATATTATAATATTGATGTTCAGTGAATGCTGATGATGTGATTGTAGGTAAATTGGCAGGATGAGGAGCAGCAAATCAAAAGAGGTGCCTTTACCAAATACAAGGAACTCTCAAAGCAAGGATACTGTTCAAGGTATGATTTGTTTTTTTTTTTAAACTGAACAACTCCCTTGTTTAGGTCATGTGTATAAAATTTTGGGCTAATCAATAAATATAAATTATATGTATGCTTTGATTTATAAAAAGTAAATAAATAATTTTAAAAATTTAATTTCGTTTTAAATATACAAGATACCTCGCCTTCAAAGACATCCTATGGTGAACTGTTTTGTAAAGGAAAAGAATCCTTTTTAAAAAAGAATCGGTATATGAAAAATTAGTTTTATACAGTTTCTTAGAGATTCTGACTTAATGTCAATAAATGGTATAATATGTTCTTAATATAGTTATAGAAGTATAGTGCACAGATAACAAGTAATAGTCACATTGAAGTCTTTTTTTTAATGATGCATTGGCAGTAACTTTAATTTAGGGCATGGTATTTTTTGAAGGACATTGACAAACTGAAAAACATCTGGAGGAAGATTAATGGGTTTGTAAGGAATCTGGAAATCATGTCACATGAGGAGCATTTGGAGGAAATGAAAATATTTATCCGAGAGAAGGATGGCTCAAGGGAAATACGTGGTCTTATACTATTTGAAGGGCTGTTATCTTAAAGACTGAATAGATTTTACCTTTGTTTCTACTGGTAGATCAAAGTCTGGAGTAGTTTTTAATCTTTTCACATCGTAATGTGAAATATAGTACATTACAAAATTTTGTATTTGTTCAGCTCATTGGGGTAAACTGAAGATACTGCTTAATGTTGGAGATGTCTGATGAGGGTGTAGATGTGGGTGTTAGTGCAGCTGTCCTAAGGACTAATGGAATCAGTGTCTAAATATAATACTAAACCATATATCAGGAAGCTCGGCTTTATAAGAATGGAGAAGAACCGTGTTTTGGCTCAATATAATAAAGTACTTGCTGAGGAATAGTTCTGCCTAATGAAATGGTTCTCAAACTTTTGAGTGTATTTGGAAACTTATTAAAATGCAGATTCTGAGGTCCACTTCAAAGGTTTTGATTCAGTAAATATCAATGTTCCCCAGCAGATATAACCACATCGTGGGATGCACTTTCTCAGACCAAGGCTGCTGTAAGTAGTTATAGTTTCCATTTATTTCTTTCTGGTTTAAAATTGATTTCCTATTATGGTTGAATAGACTAAAATTTTTTCTATATTGCCTTTTTGATAGGAAAATAAAGTTAAACATTTTGGTAAGAAGTTATATACCATATATTACAAAATGAACAATAATGACAATTATTAAATAGTAAAGGAGGGCCGGCCCTGTGGCTTGGTGGTTAAGTGCGCGCGCTGCAATTCTCGTGGCCCGGGTTCGGATCCCGGGTGCGCATCGAGGCACCACTTCTCCGTCCATCCTGAGGCCGAGTCCCACATACAGCAACTAGAAGGATGTGCAGCTATGACATACAACTATCTACTGGGGCTTTGGGGGGAAAAAATAAAATAAATAAAATCTTTAAATAGTAAAGGAATAATCAAGATGCTACTTTAGGTATCAGGAATATTAACAATATGGCATATAAAATATTAAAATAATTTGTGCTATTTATTCTCCTTTAATAAATTTGCTCATTTGGTATGTTGAAATGAAAATTTAAAACATAGAATGAATTTGTGAAGGTGGGGCTATGTGGAAGGCTTAGAGCAGAGAGGAAATGAAAGGAACAGCTTCTCCTTAAATGTCCTGTGAGTTACCTCTTCTTTGTGTGGCAATAGTAGACTGTTTTCTCTCAGCATTACTGAAGAAGAATGACTGTGGGCAACCTGTTCTCATTAGTGTTCTGTCCACTCTTGTCTGGAGTTTAGGAATATAAACTTGGCAAGTAGTGCATAGTCCCTTCAAAGGGAGACTTTTTCCTTTTTCTTTTCTTTTGCTCTCTGGGCAAATTACTCTTCTAATATGTCCTCTTTTGTTTTCTTTTGTATTCTACCTGAATTTGAATCACTTATTTCTTTTGCTGAGTATGGTATTTTCTGTCCCCTAATCTTTAGAACTGGTTTGAAAATCAATCTGGAAAAGGTACTATAGCCTAAGTTTGGTCATAATGCAGGGTCAAATTTTGGCCCCATGAATACAGCAAAATATATTCTCTCTCTTCTGTGTGAGCATTATAGATAATGTAGGAATAGTTTTTATCCCCCAGTTTAATTTAGAACTAAACTAATTTAGAGCTGAATTGTTAATGGTTGCTTTTCAAAATTACTGGGTTTTTAAAAATAATTTTTCAAGATGATAAGGGGCTCATAATATAAATGGGGGGGAAGCCTGCTACAGAACTATTAATATATAAAGGCTTATTCCAATTTTGTGGGTACGTTGCACTGCAAAAATCTGAAAGAAGAGAAATCAAAATTTTACACGAAGTTTTTATCTCTCTATAGTGGGATTTTGATGACTTTAATTTTATTTTTTTATATCTTTTCTATTTTCTCCTATAAGCTTGTAATAAAACTCTACTATTTAGGGGAAAATGCTTTTAAAATCATTGAGAACATGGGTGGTTTTACCAAAAGTTGAGTTACATTGTAAAGTGCATGGAAACCTGATTTCTATCTTGTTAATTTTGTCCTTATTGTGAAACTTATTTTATAGACATAAAACTATAAAAAGTTGTGGCTGTTTGAATAGTCCTAAATTTTGGTCCAGCTGAATCATTCTTTCCTCATTTTTGCATGTAAAATGCACAAGCTATATAGCACAATGATATGCAGCATATAATGTCAGAAAATTTACTGCTTAAAAAAAACTCAACAATTAAAAAAAATAGGTCAACAAGACAAATGGGAACGCTGATATTCTTCAGAATCTTTTTGATTTCCTTGTCCAAATTTGGGCAGCATTGTGCCAGTTGTTAATGTAGCTGAAGTAGTAAATAATGAAAAAACTATTTTTTTCCATTAAAATAAAGCATTCCTGAGTTTTTTCTACTTTGGAGAAAGGTATTGGTGGACAATATAGTTTTAAATAACTATGTAAATCAGTGGTAGCTGTTTTATTTACAGAATTAACCTGTTTGTTGTAATGGTGTTTAAACTTTAGCTGAGACACATTGAAAACAAATTAGAAGTAGCCCCTACAAGTACAGCTGTGTTTGATTCTGTCATGGATACCAAGAAATCTTCTGCAAGTGCTACCCGAAAAATAAGTAGAAAAGGTATGTATGAAGTTATTTCCAAAGATGTAAATATATTAAATATAAATATTTTGTTAGTTTTGTTTCAATTTAATTTCTTCTTTTAGTCCCATATGTTTGCTTACTCTTTTGTCAGAGACTATACTTCATTAGGATTTAGGTTTTTTTCTTTGGTATTGAGCAGAGCAGTCTCATATTCAGTAACTGTAGATGGTGTTTTCACCATCCTTTGATCAGGGACTTAGCACTACTGCATTACCTTTGACAGTGAGTTTTCATTTGTTTTAGTGATGAAAATTTGATTTTGAGCCTTTGGGGTTATATATGTCTTTTTTTTTTAATTCACACATATATCACTTTGAAATTTAGTTGACTTAATAAGATTTATATTTTTTTATTGGAGTTTAAAATCATAAATGGAATATCTGTCTTACAGATACTATCATAAATTGGCACAATGCAAAATATATTCTTTTGTATATTTAATTCTGTGGTATCTTAATTAGTGGGCTAAAACCTGCGGATTAGTACTTTCTACCAAAACTGTGATTTTTTTTTTTAACCTGTAAGTCTGTTGGATTTTATCTGATACTTTTTTTTTAAGTGAGTGAGAGCCTTTGATAAAAAGGAATTTTATGTGTAGAATTTTATTTTTCATTGTTTACTCAGACTACAGTCTCTTTCTATACATTGAGTTACTGTAATAATTTAACCTGAATGTTTTCCATCTGCTTATATATACCCAACTAAAGATGCAAGAAATAATAGATACTTAAGTTATTGTCTTAGAGACTAGCCAAATTCAGAGACAGTTGCATTTTATATCACATGTTCTTGCAAATTTCTTTTTCCTTCAGATGGTAGATACCTGGATGATTCTTGGGTTAATGCCCCAACCTCCAAATCTTCTAAATCACGAAAAGAGAAATCTCGTAGTCCTCTCAGAGCTACCACCCTGGAGAGTAATGTAAAGAGAAATAATCGTGTAGAATTTCGTGAACCTTTGGTTTCTTACAGGTTAGTGTTTACAAAAAAAAAAGTTGTCAAGTAGAGTTAGCCTGTAGTATTTACAGTAAGATTATAGTTTGTTTTCTGAGTTTTTTTCATAGTACTCTGACTTTATTATTATTACCTTTTTCACTTTCCAAAAAGATAAAGCAAAAATCTTTTATATTATGAGATACTGACTTTCTACCCTTTTACAGCTTAAATATTTAGGGGGAAGAAGTAGTAATACTTGCCCCAGGCCACCACCATTGTAATAAATATGTTTCCTACAGACAAATTATTCGGTCTCTGGAAATGTGGCTTTTTTTCCCTTCATATCTCAGATTGGGTGTTCTACATAATGAACTTCATATAGCTTAGTTTTATTCTCATTATTTTTTTGGTAGCATTTATCAGTTACCTAAAATTTCTTTGTTCTTGAGAATGTGAGTTGGTTTATTGTTTTACTTTGTTGCTGTTGGCTCCTTTCAGCATCCTACTCAGTCAGATGTTCAAGATTGATATATGAATTTTGATAGTATGGGTAATATAAAATGCTTTGCATTTTTGTCAGCTGATAATTTAGGATATTCAACATATAAAATTATAGAATTTTGTATTTGTGGGACATTTTACTAATGATATAAATGTGTTAATGCTCTTAGTATAGTAAATAGTAATAAGTAATAAACACTGGACCTCATATTTCTGGGTTTCATTTATAAGCATTTTTAGTATTTTTAAGTGTCGATCAGTAAATCAAGAAGTTTCATGATGGTGCTTGATAGTACTGGGTATATGTTTGTACTCTTAAATTTGAGATAAGAATTTGAGAGATGGAGGTTGATTATGAGTTCAATTTTCAGTATGTTCAATGTGATGCAATTTTGAAATATGTAAGTGAAAATATTCAGTAGGCATTTGAAAATTTGGGTAGGAATGTGTGTGGAAAGGTCAGGACTGGGAATATAAATTTGAGAGTTGTCACTAGTGTTGAAGTGATAAAAATGATGTAAAAATGAGCCAGCCCCAGTGGCCTAGTGGTTAAGTTTGGCACACTCCGCTTCGGCGGCCTGGGTTCAATTCCCAGGTGCAGACCTATACCACTCGTCTGTCAGTGGCTATGCTGTGGTGGCGGCTCGCATACCAAACAAAAAAAAAGGAAGAGAGGCAGTGGATGTGAGCTCATGGTGAGTCTTCCTCAGCAAAAAAAAAAAATGATGAAAAAATACAGAGAGATGGCCAGGGACTTAATCTGTGTAAAAATCCATAGTTTAGAAGAAGGAGAAAGGAAAAATTTGAAAAATAATCGATTAGAGTTCAGAATGTTTAACCACACAAATATTAAACAACTTGCCTTTTAACCTAATCATTTATCAGAATTGAAACTAGATTACTGACTCTTTATTTATATTCTAATGTTCTTCTGGCAAAGAATAATACTTGATATTTAAAATTGTGTAAATTATATATCTTTTGAGAAGAGAAAAAACACCCATAGGATAGCTGTGAATAGAATGCCCTTCACCTGGCCAACTCCGTTCATCGCTTAAAACTCATCTTTTATCACCTTCTGTACAAAACATTGCCAGATCTGTTCTACCCCACTCCATTTCCCCATCCTCCATCTTCCTCTGTGCTCCCATAATACTATATAACTTCCTCTGTTAGAGCATTTTCATGTTACATTATATTTTGTTTCCATATCTACCCATTACATTAGTTTATGTAAGGCTATAAATCTGTCTTATTCTCATAGTATTATTTTAATGCCTGTCATTTACTAAATATTCCATAAGTATTTTTCCCAATATTTTATTATGAAAATTTTCGTATTTACAGAAAATTTGAAAGAATTGTATAGTGAACACCCTTACACGTATTCAGTAAATCTTTAATGAGTGAGTAAACGAAAGAAAGACGGTGAAATTACTTTACCCTTTTTTTGGTCAGTTGTCCTTCTCTTTTTAAGATTGAGACATGATATGTAACCTACCATTTTATGCTTTATTTTATTCTCTATATGTGCTAATTTTAGACCTAAATCATTTTAACTGTGAGTTCTTACAGTCTGGTCAAGACAGTGAAAATAATGACATCTAGTCTTGATCTGTAGTGGAAGCTACAGATTCAGTTCTCATTCCCCATCTTGTTCAATAATCAACCACTCAGCACAGGGTCTAATGTTTTTTGGGTCGTGGACCTCAATGAGTATCTGATGAAAGCTGTAGTCTTTCTTCTTAGGAAATTGCACACACTCATGTATTCACAATAGGTATGATTACCATATTATGCTGTGTAGAGTCGTGGCTTTAAGAATTCTGTGGTATTTAGAGTTTTATGTCTTTATATGAAACACCTAAATCAGTGCTATACAATAGAACCATTAACACGAGCCACATGTGTAATTTATTTTAGTAGTCACACACACACACACACACACACACACAGATGTTTTACATTCTTTTTTGTTGTTCTAAATCTTTAGAATCCAGTATGTAATTTGCATTATAGCACATCTCAGTTTGGACTAGCCACATTTCAAGTGCTCAATAGCCACATGTGGCTAGTGTCTATTCTTTCAGACATTGCAGATCCAGATTGTTCTTATGTCTGCTTTTATAATTTTGTTGGGTATTTTTTCTTGATTCGTGTGCTCTTCTCACTGCTGAGGTGTATTTATTTCCATTAACCTCCTTTTTAATAAACTGCCCCTTTTCCTAAAATATAACTTATTAGAATGATTTGTAAAATAAAAAATAGTCTCTGAAGGAAGACTTTTGCTTGTGTTTTTATGAATAGAGAATATGAACCTTGTGATATGTACTTTGGCTATGCCCAGTCTTCTTTGCTTACTCCAGAGTTTCTAGACATGCTTTACATATTTTGAAGCTGCCAAAAAAGTGGTCTTGGTTCAGAGAGGTTTACTTTACTAATAAGCACATTTATTTGGAGGAAAATATTTATTGTACTCCACTTTATTTCTACTCCCAATCTATTTGTTAATTTGGTACGTCATTTAGAAGCTATACATTGAAATGCTGCCAGTATTTGAAGACTTTTTTTCCTAGTACTTAAGATTTCATAAAGGAGTAAAATATACATTTTGGAAATAGGTGTCAAATGAATATCCAAAAGTCAGATTGTAATCCTATTTTCTGAGGTTCTTAAGGAAATCTCTCTGCACATCTTTTGCATATTTCTTATTTTATAATATGCAGATTATAATTTAGATTATTTGCCATCTAACTTGATACAGGGGCCATTGAGCCTTAATATTAATAATGGTTATTTTTAATCTACTGGAATTTCTAGGTTTTTTGGGTCTCTAATGTTAGCTTTGAGTTCTCCGTTCAGTTTGTATGACTGATTTCAGTTTGACTGGTTTTTGTACTCTTTATTCAAAGCTTATTATTTTTCAATAATAGGGAAATCCATGGCGCACCTTCTAATATAAGTCCCAGCCATGTAGAGTCAAAGCATGCGTATTGTGTGGATGTTAATGAAGAAAAGCCTGAGAGTGGGAACCAGATGATATGCAATCGAGAAGAACAGAATATACGTTGCTGTGATTTTGAGAGCTCCCAATCACCTATCATCAGTGATACAGTTGTTAGATTTTTAAATGATCGACCAATAATTGATGCATTGCAAAATTCTGAATGTTTGATTAAAATGGCAGCTCCTATGAGAACTGAGGAAGAAAAGCCCAATAGAGCAAAAGGAAATGAGAACAATTTGAAGGCTTCTGTGAGTAACATGGGCCGTGATGTTGATCCAAAAGTGTTACGGCTAACTGACTCTTCTCCATCTTCTGCTAGTACTTCTAATTCCCAAAGATTAGATATCTTAAAGCGACGACAACATGATGTCAAACTGGAAAAACTCAAGGAGCGGATTAGGAAACAGTGGGAACACTCAGAAGAAACAAATGGCCGGGTCCAGAATCTGGGTCATATTGACCATCCAGTAATGGTTGTTAATGTTGATAGCTCAGTGACAGCAAAAGTCAGAAAAGTGGCAACAGCACCACCTGCTCCAACATATAAAGGTTTGTAATCAATCTTTGTATCTCTCTCTCTTCCTGCCTCCTTGTGCCCCTTTCTCCCTAGGGTGTGTTCAAATAGAGAGGATCATCTTTAGAACACAGTGTGATTCCCAAATCAAATGCATAAGGAATTAATTCAAGGTGCAGGTTAAAAATGCAGGTTCCTGGATCCTACACTGGACCTAAATTAGAATTTCTGAGGATAGAGTCCAGAATTAGAATTTTTAACAAGTCCCTCAGGAGATTCTTATAGTTTGAGAACCACTATATGAGCATTTAATAAGTTGAACAAAAGAGAAAATAAGAATTAGTACCATTATCAGAGAACTGAAAGAATATTTCTCTTATTCTATTATATTTGGATTATTATTAGGAATTCTTTCAAAATTAATATTTAACAGATAATTCAGTCAGTTCCAGTTAATATTTGCTTACAGACTGTTTTGACACTGACATTTTGATCCTGTTATTTTATTTTATTTTTTTATTTTTATTTTTTTTAAAGATTTTATTTATTTATTTATTTTTCCCCCCAAAGCCCCAGTAGATAGTTGTATGTCATAGCTGCACATCCTTCTAGTTGCTGTATGTGGGACGCGGCCTCAGCATGGCCGGAGAAGTGGTGCGTCGGTGCGCGCCAGGGATCTGAACCTGTGCCGCCAGCAGCGGAGCACGCGCACTTAACCACTAAGCCACGGGGCCGGCCCAATCCTGTTATTTTAACCTTCGAGTTTTGACACGAAGGGTTCTTTTCCCCTTGTTTAAGAAAGTAAATATTTAAATCAGATTTTTACCAACATTGATAGATTTCCATTGAGAAAATGCTTTTCAGAAAGAATTTTTGTTTTTAGCCAACTCAAGCTTTTATATATGGTGGTTTCAAGGAGTTTATATTGTTATGTTCCTGAAATTATTTTCATGGGGTCATCCATGTAAAGTTTTTAACAAAGAGTTGATTCAGTGACAGGTTAGTCTGTGTTAGACTTTTGTCATTAAAACTTCTGCCATCGTAATTGTAGCCTTTTTTGTGGATAGTTTTCCAAGTTCAGTCTTTCTAGATAAATGTATGAAGATCAAAATGTTGTCAAGATTTGTTTATTCTGTTAAGTTATTACAAACTAGGACAGGTTTGCTGTAGTCAATTTTGTTTAGTATTTTTCTACCTAATTTTTCTCTGACCAGTTTCATAGTTTTTTATAGTTCTAAGGTGTTTTTAGTCATTTTTTTCTCCAGAACAAATTTTCCTTTTTACAGTTTGAGCAATTATCACTTTTATTTTGTGTTGCTTATTGTGTTTTGCTACTGGTATTGCAAATTACATGAAAGATGGAAAATTCACATTCTAGCTAATTTATGATAAAATTGTGAACAGTTCCCTTTAGAATACTGAAAAATTGCTCTGTTTTCCAGGATTGATCTAATGTATTATCAATAAAATTCTTTCATATCCCCTAGTCATATGTGTACCATGTAGTAATTATTCATGTTGTTGGCAGAGCAAATGGCAAATGGTGGGGTCAAAATGTTATTGTTGGTTCTGAGATAGTGACTGTCGAAAACTTTTGCTGTACTTCTGTTAGACCTGTTAAATGCAAATTGTACATTTAAAGTTTGTTCATTCTAGAAGTCAAAGTTCTGAAATTCCAAAAGGTATTCCACTAAGGCAAAGTGAAGATGATCAGTTTGAATCCATATTTTATTTAATAATACAAAAACCAAAAAATTAAAAAAAACCAAAACCCTAAAGAACCAGAGTGAAAATCTTAAATATAACTTTCTTTGAGTTGGTTACTGGATTTTGCATATTCCTTTCACTTACTAATTTTTTAATGTGCTATCTTTCATATTAAAATAATTTATAAATACAACTTTTGGGGGCTTAGTTTATGAAATGTAGCATACATCTGAGAAATCATAACAGAATCTGATTTCCAGTGTCCTGAGCAATGAATTTATTTCTCCCAACAGTGAAAAACTATTTTTCTGCCAACTTTTTGGCAGTGTAAATTGAAAGCATCTTTAATATACTGTATTCTAAAGTGACATTTTAATTTCATTTGTTTGAATATGTAATACAGTCACTTGGTTCATAATTCAAAAGATGAAAAGGGCGTACCTTGAAAACCTCTATCACTCTTGTGCTCCAAACACCTGGTCCCCTTTCTGTAGGTTATTTGTGTTAACAATTTGTATATCCTTCCAGAGATAATTTTTGCATACACAAACAAATAAGAGAGAGAGAGAGTGTGTGTGTGTGTGTGTGTTTTCTTTCTTTTTTTATACAGTTGTTAGCATACTAAACCCATTCTAAACCTTGGTTTTTCATTTATATTTTTTTGTGTTTTTTTTTTTAAAGGAGACATAGGAAGTGTTCTGTGATTCTGCTTTAAGATTTGAAGTAGTGAACACAAACGGTGTTTATGTGATTCTTCCTTGTCTTATACTTAGTTGTTTGCGTATCTTTTTCTTCCTGGTATAAATGCCCATGAAGGTTAGGAGCCTTTATTGGTCATCGTTATTTTATTTCAGAGCCTAGTACAGTGTCTTGGACATAAGTAAGTGCACAGTAAATTTTTTATTCTCTTCAGTAAATGCAATTGGTAAGAAAAAAATGTGGACAAAGAATGGAAATAAAGACTAGGGGACAGAAAGAGAAACTGATGTAGATATTGAAAGCTTCTTAAAGTTAACTTACAAGTAAAGATGCAAATATAAAGAGAGGCTCCTATATGTTTCCTAAAGAGGAGAGGAGAAAAAGTGATAAGGTTGAATGTAGAGAGATGGAATGGGGGTGATAGTGAAGAGAAAAGTTGAGAGAGAGAGAGATTTGCATGGAATTGCCACACTTTCTTATTACAAACTACAGTTTGCAGTAGACTGAGCACTGTTTGTAAATTTTTTCCTTATATAGGTATAGGCATAATTTTGTGCCCCTTGCCACAAATGTCAGGTGAAATTAAGCTTATGCTTTTGTGCCTGAGAGCTGAATAGATATTTTCTATTAGGCATGTAATTAATTTACCAGTACATTTTATCTAACACTTCTAAGGTGCTTTTAACAATTTTTGACTCCAGCCTATTCTTTACATTGATTTTAATTTTACAAATACTTATTGGCTGCCAATTATTTGATAAATTGAGCCTATCTGAAAATATAAATCTTTATACTACCCGGATTATCATACAAATTCATTATTTTATTATTTTGCAAAATAACATTTCAAGTTCAGTGTATTTCTTAAAGTGTAGTGATAAGTTTGAAGTAGGAAATTAGAATGATAATTCCTAAGAAATAGCACATGTGTAATGTTTGTTGAGAAATTGAACAAGTATGTTTTAAAGACCTATTTTCCACATTTTGGGTGCATTTTGCCTCTGTAGACAGTAGCTTGTCCATTTGTTCAGTCATTGGCAAAATCAGACAGATGATAGCAAATAGTGCCTGTCTTCAAAGAAAAGAAGAATGAGTAGTATTGTCTCTCTCTTAGTCTTGAGAAGGATAGTTTGTATCTCTGAAATCCATAATTTGTGATTGACATTCTTTTATCATTTAATTTAGTGCTTCTTCATTTCTAGGGTTTTTGAACAAATATGTATTGCTTTATCTCACTTAAGCTTACATTTTCCAAATAGTATTTGTCCACACATTATGTGGTAGCTAATTATGCATTCGTCTTTTAAAAGCTTATAAAGCTGCTCAATGTCATTAGTTATTAAGGAAACAGATATCAAAGCCACAATGAGATATCATTTCACACCTACTAGGGTGGCTATAATAAAAAAGACAGACAATAACAAGTGTTGGTGAGAATGTGGAGGAATTGAAACCTTTATACATTGCTGGTGAGAATATAAAATGGTACAGCTGCTTTAGAAAACAGTTTGGCAGTTACTCAAAAAGTTAAACATAGTTACCATATGACCCAGCAATTCCACTCCTTTTATAATACCCAAGGGAATTGAAAACATATGTCCACACAAAAACTTGTACAGGAATGTTCATAGCAGCATTATTAATAATAGCCAAAAAGTAGAAACACCCACATGTCCATCAGCTGATGAATGGGTAAACAAATGTTGATATATCCATACAATGGAATGTCATTTGACAATAAAAAGTAATAAAGCTTTGATACATGTTATTTAGTGGATGAACTTTGAGAACATTATGCTAAGTGAAAGCAGCCGGTCACAAAAGGCCACATATTGTGTGATTCTATTTATATGAATAAATTAAATGACCAGAATAGGCAAATCCATAAGGATAGAAAGTAGATTAGTAGTTGCCAGGGAATAGAGAGGGTGGTGTGGGGAGTGACTTCTAATGGGTACAGCGTTTCTTTTCAGGGTGATGAAGTGCTCTGGAATTAGATAGTGATGATAGTTGCAAAGCTTTGTGAATATACTAAAAACCACTGAGTTGTGCACTTTAAAAGAGTGAATTTTATAGTATGTTAATGATATCTTACTTAAGAAAGAGTAAAACAAAACTTATAAAACAACTTTGATAAGAATGTTCTGTATTGTTGGTATGTGTTAGGCTTCAGTCCTTCCGAGACCAAGATTCGAACACCCGATGGGAAAGTATGGCAGGAGGCTGAGTTTCAAAACATGAGTAGAGAACTGTATCGAGACTTAGCACTTCACTTTGCAGGTGAGAGTAGAGCTTTCTTAGATTTTGAATGTTTTATCATACATGCTATCTAATTTATAATATTTAAACATAAGATTGTCACCAAACTAAAGATAGTTCCCTTTTCTAACTGCATGGTATACTAAAGTAGTGGTGGTTTCAGTCATAAGGCTCTCTTAGCTTCTAGGCTCTGCTCCAGGGTTAAAATTAACATACATGGCTGATGAGACAGAAACTAGGCTATTTTTAAATTGAGAGACTTTGAGTCAGAACTGTCTGATTTGAAGGAAACATAGCAGAATCTACTTAAAGTTTACTTCTGCTGGAACTCTGAAATTTTTGAAATGGTCAGTAATTTGGCAGGTAGCAGGTAAGAAAATACTAACATGAGGGCAAAATGCAGAAAGAAAAAGGAACATTATAGAAAGGGAATAATGTTAGAGAATTGGAAATAGGAGGAACTTATGGAAGATTAGAAGAGGGAAATAAGAAGGTCATACTCAGAATGTTACTACTTGTTGAACACCTAGTATGATTTTGGGCAGGATGCAGGGTACTTAGTCTTTTGTATTTTTTACAATTGAGGAAATGAAAGCTCAAAGAGTAATTTTCCCAAGGTTCCATAGAGTAGTTAAGAATTGAAGCCAAGATTCAAAACCACCTCTGTCTGACTCTAAAGCCGAGATTTTTTTAATAAGCTCCCACAGAGAGTCTGCTAATGAATTTTGTGGCATTAAATGTCCAGTTCAGTTTTCCTGCTATTATTATTGGAACGCTATATTCAGAAATTTTTTCCTTATGTGGAGAGGAAGTATAGTGCGATAGTTTACAGCAAAGATTATGGAATCAGCTTACAAGGGTTCAAATTCTGGCTCTGCCACTTATTAGCCGTGTATACTGCCTGTGTTAACCTCTCTTCCTTGGTTTTCTCATCTGTAAAATAGGGATAATAACAGTATACCTCATAGAGCAGTATCATTAAACACTAGTAGAATGACGTATGTAAAAGAACTCTTAAAGAGGTCTACCTGTTATACTCTGCCTTCTCTCTTGTGGTGGATGAACTCTGTGCTCAGAGGTAAGACCAACCCATCTACTTGTGTTTTAGATTCCACTTGGTCTTGTGTATTTAAGGACGTTTCTTCAGCCCTCTTTTTCTTTCTTTTGCGTCATCAAGTTTTCCTTCTCTGCGAAGTCATGCCCATGAACATACGGTTTGATAACATGCTGTTATCTCAGCCATCATAAAAGAACCCCTCTTTTGGCCCTACTCTCTTCAACTTCTGCCCTGTTTCTTTCCTTCTATTTATAGCAAAACTTCAAAAAGTTGCGTTTTACTCATTGTCTCCAGTTTTTCTCCTCCCTTTTACTATTGAATTGTTTCTATTAGATTTTTGCCCCTACCTCTCTGTGGACTGCTGTTATCAAGATCATCAAAGACTTCCACATTGCTAAATCCAATGTTTAATTCTCATTTGTCATCTTACTTGATCTCTCAGCAACATTGGACATGACTGATCACTTATTCCTTGAAACTCCTCACTTGACATCTAGGATCCCATAAGTTTTTGGTTTTCCTCCTAAGTCTGTCTCCTCTTTTTAAGTTGTTTTTTTCCTGATTGACTCCCTCATGCCTCGGTCTCAGTGCTTGGATCCAGCTTGCTTTCTCTCTTTTCTTTTCCTCTCTCTCTCTTTTTCTTCTTCCTTTTTTTTTTTTCTTTTTATTTATCTACATACAAACTAGGCAGGCTCATCTAGTCTCAGGGCTTTAAATATTCTCTGTTGCTGGTGATTCCCAAATTTATGTCTCTGGCCCAGACTTCTCTGAGCTCAGACTCTTATATCTAGCTGCTAACTCCACAGCTCCCCTTGGATATATAATAAGTTTCTCAAGCTTAATATATCCAAAATGGAGTGAGCCAACTAACTAAATGGGGTCATGACACACCCCTTACACTTACTCCATCTCAGTTAATTCTGTCCTTCTGATTGTTCAGGCCCCAAATCTTGAGTCATCCCTGACCCTCCCCCCATTTCTCTCATACCTTATATCTAATAGTGTCTCAAATATATCTAAAATATTGACCCCTTCCCCGCTTCTGTCACTATCATCTAGGTCCAAGCCACCCAGAGTCTCTTGTCTGTATTACTGCAGTAGCCTTCTAACTGGTCTCCCTGCTTCTGCCCTTCTTCTAATGAGTCTGTTTTTATCACAGCTGCTAAAGTAAGCTTGTTAAAATTTAATTTAGATCATATCACTCCGTTGCTCAAAATCTTCCAAAAACTTCTCATCTCCTTCTTTAGTAAAACCTGAAGTTCTTCTGGCCGTCAATTATGTCTCTGACCATAGTTCTTACTACTCCTCTCTTTGTTCACTTACTGTGGCCTCCTTGCTCTTAGACAGTAGATATGCTCCTGCCTTAGGGCCTTTCACTTATACTTACTTTGACTTTGCCCAGAATGCAGAGCTCTATATGTACTTTAAATTACATTTATTCAGATCTGTAATTGAGGTTAATTTTCTTTCTTTCTTTTTTTTTTTTTTGAGGAAGAGCGCGCTCAGCTAACATCTGCCAATCCTCCTCTTTTTGCTGAGGAAGACTGGCCCTGGGCTAACATCCATGCCTATCTTCCTCCACTTTATATGGGACGCCGCCACAGCGTGGCTTGACAAGCGGTGCGTCGGTACACGCCCGGGATCAAAACTGGCGAACCCTGGGCCGCTGCAGTGGAGCGCACGCACTTAACTGCTTGCGCCCGCGGGCCATCCCCTAATTTTCAAATTTATCTATATAGTCAGTATATTCCCTAGATTGAAATTTTTAAAATTACTGAATAGTAATTTATATGTGACATGCCTTGACATATTTCACTCACATAACCATAAAAAAGCCCAATTTAGGAATATTATATTAAGTATTTTATAAGTTTTATTGTAGAAGTTCATGAATATCTCAGTTACTTAGGACTTTTTAAATGAAATAGGAATCTGTGAAAGTGCTCACCCCTGAGATTCTATAAATGATATGATCCTAGCTTGGAAAGCATTACTGTTACAGCTTCTTCTAGTTTGTGAAAATGACTCAAGGGTTTCCTGAAATAAATAACAAAGAATTGGAACCTAACAGTGGAGTAGTGACAGTCTTTAGACCTTTCGATAAGAGGAATTGGCATTGGTAGCTTATGGGTCATAGAAATAGCTTCAGTGAAGATTTCTTTCTCCCTGCCTGAATCATATACTTTATAGTGATTTTTTTATACTCGCAGAAGGATGAGTGGGTGGGTAGGAATCATTATAATACTTGCTGTAAATGTTTCTGCTTTTCAGATGATATCTCTATGAAAGAGAAACCTGCTGAAAAAAGTAAAGAGAAGAAAGTGGTTAAGCCAGTACGAAAAGTCCAAAAGGTAACAACACAGTTATCAAGTCCAGAATGCAAAACAGGTTAGTTTTCTCAATATCATGTCTATCCTAAAGTTACATATTATGGAAGTGGCATCTAAATGGGAATAAATATTTGTTAACCAGATGTTCTCATTGTCTGGCAAATATAAAAATTCAACACATTTTATGTATCATTATTTTGTGTATGTGTGTTTTATTGAGGTATAACTGACATAGAATAAGCTGTACATATTTAGAATGTATAGTTTAAGTTTTCATATACGTATATACCCATGAAACCATATGTTCACCATGATACTGAACACATTTATCACCCTCCTCAAATTTTTTTCCATCATTATTTTTAATAGAAATTAACCAGATTAAAGGTAATGATTTTTATGTAGTGAATTTTTATATACAAAGGAATTGCTTATGACTGTTACTAAGTCCCTTCACTTATTCTTATAAGAGAATAAATGTTGCATAGGAGAAGTATGGCAGTGCATTCCACTAGTGGTCAGGCTGGCCGAATAGATCAAGACTGGGAAAAAGAGAATTCCCTAATTCCATAGTGATTAATACTTAAGGTTCAATCCAGATTGCCTGGGTTTATAACCTAGCTCTGCCATCTTTAGCTTTGTTCCTTTGGTAAATGAGTTAATTTTTTCCCTATATATAGGAAAGCAGTGATTACTTCTCTCACAGGGTTGTTGTAAGAACTAAAATAGTTAATACCTAAAAGCACTCAATAGAGTTGTACCTGGCTCATGGTAAGCACTCAAATGTTAGGTATGATTCTGTTAATAATAATTATTATTATTTCTGGCTATACTGTAAACGGCTATTTGGTATGTCATATTCATGTCAGTGAATAATTTGGACCGAGAGAGTGGAGAAAGTTGGGAACTTTTCACTTTCAGTTTGGAGACATTCTGAATCAATCATTCATATATACGTTCATTATGCAAATATTTTTGAGCATTTGCTATATGTGAGGCACTGTGCTATGCTAAGCTTAGGCCATACAGTGGTAATCAGCGTGTACATAGCCCCTGCACTCCTGGAATTTATAATCTTGTCAGGAAAACAGTAGATACGTAGTTACAATAAAGTGTGATGAATGTATGGTAGGGGATGTACAAGGTCTTATGGGAACATGGAGCAGGGGTGATGGGACGTTGGTTTTTGAGGAGGCACTTGTTTTTCTGGTCATAGACTAAAATCAATAGAGTGGCAAATAACATATTTTGTGGCATCCATTGTTAACTCTAGATGTCATAATAGAATGACCCTGGCTGTATACAAATAAAAAGTAAAATTTTATAGAAACATGAATTATCTGAATGTAAACTAAACTAATTCTTACATTTAAAAAATAGACAAAGTATTATTTTTCATGTGATATTAAATAATACTGTTCTCAGGGGCATGGTTTGAAATGAAGCACTGGGACCACAATAACTTATAAACACTGATCTTGGATTGTATTTAACCAGTTTTGTGGTAGACTGATTCCCATGTATGCACTGTGACAATGACCGAGACAGAGTCATTAAATGTGCTAAAGCTGTATTATGGTTTATCGATAGTGAAAATCCTCTTTTTCTACCAATGACTGCGTGAGACTATTCCAGAAAGCCAGAATTTAGAAATAATCACCCAGCATATTCAGAAGCCAACATTTATAAATAACTACCCAGTATATTCATGGTTGCTTGCTTTTTTCTCTCTTTTTTTTTTTTTTTTTGCTGAGGAAGATTAACCCTGAGCTGACATCTGTTGCCAGTCTTCCTCTTTGTTTTTTTGTTTTTGCTTGAGGAAGATTAGCCCCGAGCTAACATCTGTGCCAATCTTCCTTATTTTGTATGTGGGTTGCTGCCACAGCGTCGCCGACGAGTGGTGTAGGTCTGCGCCTGGGATCCGAACCTGCGAACCCAGGCTGCCAAAGTAGAGCATGCCGGACTTTACCGCGATGCCATGGGGCCAGCCCTGTGGTTACTTGCTTTTGATTCAGAAAATTAAGCTGCAGTTGAAGAGAATCCTGTTCTCTCATTTGCTTAAGAACATAAAGTTGCTTATACATAGATTGAGAAATAGACTTAAAACCTTTTAAATATTTTAGACTGTTTAAGGTTAATAAGAAGATGCAAAAACATTTCTAAAGTAAACAGCACACATTTATAATTCATGATTCTTTATAATTTCATTAAAATTATGCTTCCATTTAAACTTTTAAACTAAAGCCCTTTTAAAAGAAACTCTAAATGGAATGTCTGTTATTGTAAATACAATGAAATAGCATCACAGAAAGCTTGAAAAATAGAAGAAAACAGATAAAACCACTGCCCTTCTTAAATAAAGTACTAACATTATTTTGTGTATTTCTTTATGGTAATTTTAAAATCATAATTGTGGGTGATTGTAATCATTGTATACATAAAATTTAATCTTTTTCTCTTAGCATCTTACCACGAGACCATTTCTGTTATTTCTTATGGAAATTATAATTTGAAATGGTCACATAGTACTCAACCTAGTAGAAACATAGTTTAATTATTTACCATTCTTTAATATTTAGGCTACTTCTGATATTATGAAAAATTATACAGTGTACATTTTTGTTTCTTTCTATTGGATATATTTCTCTTACTTGGAGTATTTGATCAAGAGGAATGAGCACTTGACGGGTCCCTAACACGTAATACTGTGTTTTTTTTTAAAAGAAACTATATCCACTTATATTTCTTTTTTTGTGTGTGTGAGGAAGATCAGCCCTGAGCTAACATCTGCCAGTCCTGCTCTTTTGCTGAGCAAGACTGGCCCTGGGCTAACATCCCGCCCATCTTCCTCCACTTTATGTGGGACTCTGCCACAGCATGGCCTGACATGCGGTGCATTGATGCGCGCGCCTGGGATCCAAACCTGGGCCACCAGCAGAGGAGCGTGCGCACTTAACCACTATGCCATGGGGCCGGCCCCGCCACTTATATTTCTATAAGCAATGTATAAGTAGAATGATTTTATTGTAATTTTATCAGCTTTCACTATGAATGTAAAAGTATGTTTTTCTAATTTAATTAGGTTTAAAATGCTCCTTCATTATTTTTATTTTCATTCCATTTCTTATATTACTTTGCATTTAAATACTTTTATATATTTCTGTTTATTTTTTATGGTTTCTATTTTGTCAATAGTCTTTCAGGTCATTTCTTGTTTTTTAAGTTAGTCTGTTTTTAGGTGATGGTCTGATTTTAATTTTTTTACAATCTGAAACTAGTAAATGAAAAGTTTTTCTCTTGGTAAACAGCTGTATTTATTGGAACATACTTTTATTTTTATGAGGTTTTAAAATGAGAGCAATTTAAAATGTTGTTGATTTTTGCTTCTTGAATGTCCTTGTTTTATGTATAAAAAAGTAGTTTGTAGTTTTGGCATATATCTGTAAAATGTGAAATTCCCTGTAATATCATCCCCTTCTAAGGTAATCGCTGTTAACTGTTTGTTATATGTTTCTTCAAACTTTTTTCTTATACTTAGATTAAGTCATTTGTTCATTCAGCAAACATACACTTTACTCTGTGCCAGGTACTGTGCTAGTATCGGTAAACTAAACACTTATTATAGTAAGACATATTTTTGTTCTGTGCCAAAATTGATGGAATCATTTCCCTAGTTCTTGAGGTTTCAGAAATCATTAATTCTTTGTACTTAACTTTCAAAACATTTTACACTTATTTGAGATGTGTGACTAAATCAAGATTTAAACAAACTGTTAATTGATTTTGGGAACTTAGGGTTAAAAATAAAGTTAGATTGTAAACTATTTGACTTTGGCATAAGGTAAGCATAAGATTAATTACAAAATCTGTGTGGTTGAGTAGATATACTTCTTAGAGATAAAATTTAAGTTTTAAATTCAACCCTATATATATATTTTAGGTAGCAGTCGTCTGATAAGTACGTCTTCTTGGCGAGATGGACAAAAGTTAGTAAAGAAGATTCTGGGACCTGCACCCAGAATGGAGCAAAAAGAGCGAAGAACAGCATCAAGTGACAGAAGTGGAAGAGAAAGAACTACCAAATCTGGTGAGTAATTAAATTATTAAGTTAAGTTATCTCGATAATTAAAATTGTTGAGACAAGCAATAAAGTTGTTTGTGTAAGTAGTTAGGAAAGGTGAAAATACTCTTTTGAGAATGCTTTAAGACTTTGCTTTATAATTGTGAATGTAGCTCAAAAAAGAAATGTTCTCTTGGGCTTGTCTGTGGATAATTTCCACATATAGATATTATGGTGATCTTTATTAAGAATTCTGTTTGTGTTATATTAATTACATTTAGCTGTCATTATGAATATCAAAGCATCATTTAATCAAATCCTGTTAGACCTTTAGGGACCTTAAGAGAATCAAGTCCAACGTCTTATCCCTACATACGCAAACACAGGTAGACAGTCACAGGTTGCGTTATTTTATTTGACAGATTAGGAAACAGGCCCTGAGAGAGAAGTGATTTTTCTCAAGGGTATACAGTCAGTGAGTGGCAAAATTTGATCTAGGATCCACAACTCTTTAGTTTGACCCTGAAGTCCATTGCTTTTCTCTTTTCGAAATATTTTGAATGCTATTTGAAATAACTAGTAACTTTTTCATGAACACTGATTTTGGGAAATGAAATATAAATACTTACAGGCTAGCTTTCCTTTTCAGTAGCAAAATTTTCCTCAATTAATTTGTGCTTCTGGGATGGATTCAGTAAGAAATACAATTGTAACTATAATTTGGTATGTAGAAGTCAATATATACTTTGTATTTGCTCCTCTTCACTTTCATCTAGCTTCTAAAAAAACTCATGTGCATTCTCAGTCTAAAATTAAGCCACATCAACAAACATTCAGATGGTAAAATGATTGTTTTTCTATATATTTATTTTTTTCTGTTATTCATTGGAAAGTTGTGGCAGCTTAACATTGTTGATTTTTTAACAACTGTTTTAGGAGTCTGGGGAGGGAGAGAAATAGTAACATTAAATATGCACGTGGGAGAGATATAGTAATTCTCTATTAATATTAATAGTTAAGTATTCACATCAACAAGATCTGTCCTTATTTCAGATATATTAAAAAATGCATTTTTAAAAAATGCCAAGGAAGTATAGTTTTTCAGAAGATTGAAATTCTCTCACTGCTAAAAAAAGATGTTTTTCTTTTCTTCTATAATATTCTTTAGAAGACTTTATAGAATGTTTGAATTTGATTTTAAGGTAAAGCGAAATTCCATAATTTTCTCCTTAGTGCAATAAATCTTAGGAATGAGTATAGAATTTTAATACATCACTAACAGTTTATACTTTGCAGGAGGTCATATTGGAAGAGCAGAATCTGATCCCAGGTTGGATGTTTCGCACAGACATCTTCCACGAAACTCAGAACGTTCGAGAAGTAGAGCTCGGTGTGAAAATAATATAAAGAAATTAGCTCCATCTCTTCCAGACAATAAACAGGAGGAAAATCCTGCCTTAAATAAGGACTTTTTACCTGTTGAAATTCGTGGAATTCTGGATGACCTACAGTTGGATTCTGCAGCTCGGTCTACAAGGCAAGAGACAGGAGAGATACAGAATCAGAAGTCATCAGCACCAGTACAAGCTCCTAGGAGTCATAGCCCAATAAAAAGAAAACCTGATAAAATAACAGCCAATGAAGATCCCCCTATTATTTCCAAAAAGCGCCACTATGACACAGATGAGGTGCGACAGTACATTGTTAGACAGCAGGAGGAAAGGAAAAGGAAGCAAAATGAAGAGAAGAAGGCTCAGAAGGAGGCCACTGAGCAGAAGAACAAACGATTACAGGAGCTCTACCGGAAACAGAAAGAAGCCTTTACTAAAGTAAAAAATGTGCCTCCTTCTGAGCCATCAGCAGCTAAGCGACTGCAGGAAACTTACTCCAAATTGCTACTAGAAAAGACTTTGCTTGAAGAGCCAACTTATCAGCATGTTACGCAGGAAACACAGGTAGTAGTAGTGACAGAAATAGAAAGGGAAGTAAATCATTGTTAGGAAAAACTTATTTGCTATACTATTTAAAAATTACCTACTATTCCTAATATTCAGACATGCTCAAACAATATTTATAATAATGATGGCCTTTCATGAAATTTATTTTATATGAAGAGTAACTGATAAACATGATTGAAAGTAAGTGCTCAATGAGGGTTTCCTAAATGATTTAGTGATCTCTTTTTGTCTCATCATTGCTATTAGTTATATCCTTGCCTAGTTTTCATTTTATTATTGAGCAAATAAAATTAGATTATGTTAATAAAAAGCCTAGTTTTGTGATATATGCTGAAATTAGAGAATATCCTACTTTAGTGTGATAATTTTATGAGTACTGCTATTGTTTTTAAGAATAATAAGAATAACATTGAGTACGTGCCATGTGCTGCATACTGTTTTAAAGGCTTTACAGGCTTAAGCTTCAGTAAAACCTCATAACCCTGAGAAGGATAGGTACTATTAGTATTTCTACTTATTAGGTGAAAAAACTGAGATTTAGAAAGAGTATTACTTCCTCCAAATTATACAGTTAGTATTAGGTCTTCTTGTTGGATTTCAGATGTAATTTTGCTGTTAATCGTAATGGCTGTTTTTAAGACAAACTAAATTTGAATTGGTTTTATTTGAGAGAGAAAAGGCCCTACATTTCATGATCTTTGTAAAGTTGAAGTGACTTAATATTTATCTTATGTACTTCCTGAATATATCTTTGTGATGGGAGTCAGATAAATTTGATGTCCTTTCCTCCTAGACCAGACCAGGGTATCAGCCATCTGGAGAATCTGACAAAGAAAACAAAGTGCAGGAGCGTCCCCCAAGTGCATCTTCCAGTAGCGACATGTCTCTGTCAGAACCTCCACAGCCTCTTGCAAGGTAAAAAGGGGAGAATGAAAGATGCTTAAGGTTCTTTCTTGAAAGAACTTCATGAAATTTAGTATAGTGGTTTATGCTCAAGTGAATTTTGTTGACTGACCTGTGTGAACAAGAGGTTTATTTAGAAATTCATTAATATCTTCTGATGGATACTTAAGCATGGTGTAAATCTATACTTACTGTGTGCCCTATTCTATCATTCAACTTTTACCTACCCTTTAATATCCAATGTAAATGTCAGTTGCCCCTGGGATCACCTGCGATCGGAAGCACTCTTGCCTTCTCTAAGGTAAACCCACAGTAAAAGTTTGTTGGATGAATGAATCACAGTGAAATTAATATTTTAAAGTATTTGTAGTTGGGCCGGCCTCGTAGCTTAGCGGTTAAGTGCGTGTGCTCTGCTGCTGGCGGCCTGGGTTCGGATCCTGGGCGCGCACCGACACACCCCTTCTGCGGCCACACTGAGGCCGCGTCCCACATACGGCAACTAGAAGGATGTGCAGCTGTGACATACAACTACCTACTGGGGCTTTGGGGGAAAAATAAATAAATAAATAAAATTATTAAAAAATAATAATAATAAATTATTTGTAGCGAATAATTTTCAAAAGGCATTTCTGTATCCATTACTATTCAAAATTTCTTCATATGACTCATACCAATTTATCCATCTTAACCTCTCAAAAGCTGTATTTAGATATGTATGTGAACACATGAACAAGGACTAAGGAGGGATTTGGTTTGATTTCAAATTGGTGATCGAGGGCTATTTTACCTTATATTTTCTTTAAAAAATATTTGTTTTTGCTGTAATATATTATTTGCAATAAAGTAAAAAAAACTGTGCATGTAAGGTAAGGTGATTTTGAGATTACATGGTTATAAATTATACTGCAAAATAGCCATTTTGGGAAGAGAAAGATTTTCAAACTCTTCTTTGAGGATGCACAAATAAAAATCAAATCACTTTCCAATTTTGGGTTAATACATGTGGTACTCTCACCCCTTCGTGCCCCCCACCTCAAGAGAGAATAATAATATTAATAAAAATAGCTAACATTTATTGAGTACTTGTTAGGTTCCAGGCACTGATCTAAGTATTTTTCAGGTATTATCCTACGTAATCCTTGTAATTCCTTAAGTTAGGCACTGTTGTTATTCCTATTTTACAGAAGAGATAATGGAGGCCTAGAATTTAATTAACTTTTTCAAAACGTTAGTGGTGGATATGGGTTTGAACTTAAGCAGTCTTGATTCCAGAAGCCTGCACTTTTAACACTCTGCACACTGCCTCCCAATAAGTGAAATGTTTCGTATGATTTAAGGTTGTAAATAGATTTCAAATTTTAAGCATAAATAAGCTTAAAAATTTTTTTGCATTTGAATACCTTTAGGTAGGGGTACTCTCCAGTTCACCTCACTCCCATTATTGTTGTCAGACATATCCTGCTGGCTTCATGTCTTCAATTACCTTTCCTTGAATTTCCTTCTAACTTTAAACAAGTTACCCAATGTTAAAAACAAACCAAACATAAAACAAATCCATTCCTGGACCTTATTACCTTGCACATGTTCCTCTCCTTTCTTTTAATATCAGACTTCTCTGACTTGTGTTATCTAACCTATTGCCTCCACTTTCTCTCTACCCATTCCTTAGCTTCCCCGTTGCTGTTAATTGTTTTAACATATCTCAGGTACTTTATGCATAAAAGCACGGGATTATTTTTCCTTGCCCTTCATTTCCCATCATTCTGTGTTAGTTACCTGGAAAACTCCAAATTACATATCTGACCTTGAAGACCTTGAAGATCCAGCTCAAAAGTCACTTTCCTTGGCTAGCAGAGTTCATTGTTACCTATCTATACCCTGTTGAACTTTATATATCTTTGTGTTAGTACTTACAACTTTAGCTATTTATTAGTCTCTCATCCTTGCTAGATCTTGAGAAACTAACAAGTAAGGATTAAGTCTTTCCATTTTTGTCTCCCTCTCTTCCTCTACCATCAACATAGTGCCTGCCACAAAACTGGCATTCTGATATTTGAATTTAGAGATCTTGGATAAAAAATTTGAACTCAGCAATGAGTTTAATGAGAAAACTCAGCAATATCTTTTATTTCGATAACTTCCTTTGTATTCCCATTACTACCAGCTTAGTTTGGCTCCTAATAACCTCACGCATTGCATTTGTAATAGTCTATATTGTGTGGCATGGAATCTATGCACTAGTCTTTTCTTCCTTCATTCCGTTTTCATAGTGGCCGTTTAGTATAAAAGACTGCTATAACATAACCACCAAGCAAACTTTGCATGACATGCTTTTCAATTCCCTATCACCCTGATTACCCTCCTCCAGATGATTTTTTGAACTTAATTGGTAGGACTTCACATTTATCCATTCTAGTTTGGTCTAAGGTTGCAGCCTGTCCAGATAACTTAAATCATAATTTGATAATTTGTTGGGTTAGCCAATGCCTCCCAACTTTCTTTCGTCTGCAAATTTGATAAGCATATTTTCATGTCATCATCCAAAAGTTTTGGACAAGACCAAGGCCAAAACCTCATGTTATTTTTTCTAAGGATCTTTTTAATAGTTATCATCAGCCTTTAATCTTCCTGTAGTATCCCTTAATATACAGGGTGTTCATAGTCTGAAAACATAGGTGAATTATATAATGTCATCTAGGACATCTTTATTCTGTGTCTAGACTTGATGGACAACCTACCCTGTATTGTATATTTATAATTGGTACTCATAGTTTTGCATTGGTAGTCATTGTTTGACGTTCATTAATTTTTTTTGGAACTAGATTGTAATAATCTCATTTCTTTAGTATGTACAATGTTAAACGTGTTCAACATTTATTAAGTATTTGTTGATTAGAATAATATATATCATACCTATGTTAATATTTAATAATCTTAAACATTTCTCTTTTATGTAATATTATTTTTAAAGGGAAAGGTAGAGCCAATGTTGTAAAGAATTTTTTCCATAGATTTTTAAAGGTTATAATGCCTTCTCTTTAAAAAATATGATGTCTTAGTTGAAGAAAGCAGTTTGCAAAACAGTATGTGTGATAAGATTTCATTTTTGTGAAAATAACAACACTAACACACAACACGTGTAGAAAAATGTTTGGAAAGATAATTCTAAATGAAATATTAATAGTACCTCTTTCTTATTGATTAGCTATGAGTGATCTTTATCTTTTTTACCCTCATTGTCCTTTTTTTTTTTTTTTTTGCAATGAATATGCATTACTCTTATAATCAGGAAAAAAACAAAACTTAAAAAAAAAATAGTGGCTTAGTTATGAGTTGCTGTGTTAACTAACATATTGGGACTTTTATTTCCAGAAGGGACTTGATGGAACCTACATGGATGCAGCCTGACAGATTGAGCCCACGAGTCCGCCATTCTCAGCCACAGCCTCTTGTTGGAACAGCTGGAAATTTACTCTCCCATCTCTTGAGTCTAGAGCATGTAGGAATTTTGGATAAAGATTTTGAATCTGTTTTACCAACCAGGAAGAATCATAATATGGCTTCAGGGCCATTAACTTTTACACCTCAACCATATTTGACCTCACCAGCTGCTCATCCAGATGCCTTGTTAAAACCTAGTGCCAGCCAATATAAGAGTAAATTGGATCGTATTGAAGCCTTGAAAGCAACAGCTGCTTCTTTGTCCAGCAGGATTGAAAGTGAAGCGAAGAAATTAGCTGGGGCTAACATTAATTATGGGTCAGTATGGAACACTGAGTATGATGTGCAGCAAACACCACAAGAAGATGGACCTTGGACCAAGGCTATAAGTCCACCTGTGAAAGAGGATACTGAAGATGTTTTCTCTGCCCGAATTCAAAAGATGCTGGGAACCTGTGTATCTAATGCAACTTTTGATGATGATCTTCCTGGTGTAGGTAACCTTAGTGAATTTAAAAAGCTTCCTGAGATGATAAGACCCCATAGTGCCATATCAAGCTTCAGAAGGAGATCCCCTGGTCCCAAACCAGAAGGGCTGCTGGCACAGTTGTGTCAGAGGCAGACCGACTCTTCTAGCTCTGATATGCAAGCTTGTTCTCAAGACAAAGCCAAACTGTCTCTTGGTTCTAGCACAGATTCAGTGAGTGAGGGGCCTCTTCTTAGTGAAGGGAGTCTGTCTGAAGAAGAGGGAGGCCAAGATGGACGGCCCTCTTTGAAAGTAGCAGAAATCTTAAAAGAAAAGGAATTTTGTGCTGGAGAAAGAAATACTTATGAACCCATCAAAGAATTTCAGAAGGAAGCTGAAAAATTCTTGCCACTTTTTGGGCACATAGGTGGTACACAAAGCAAAGGACCATGGGAAGAATTGGCAAAGGGAAGTCCACATAGTGTCATTAATATTTTTACGAAATCATATCAGTTATATGGAAAAGGTGAGAAAAATAAGCCTTGTTAATATTTGTATGTTATCTTAAGATAAATTATTTCATAATTCTGTACAAGATAATACTTAAGTACAAATTTTCATTATTCATTATGAAGATAATGGAGACATTGTCCAAATTAATCTAAAATTATCTGCAAGCTTCAACTGGAGAGTATTGTAATTTAGTCTTAAACACTAATTTCATTTTTTAGTTATTGTTGTAAAAGAATAGTTGGTTGGTAGTTGTATAGATTTTGGTCTAATTTAGAGAAATTCATAGGTGATGTTCAGGATTGGTGTGTATCAAGCGTATACTAGGTTTTCTGTGACCATAGTTATATGTTTAGATAGAAAATAAGTATATTTCTTAATACAGTGATTTGTGAATCATTGGGAATATAGTGGTCAAGAATTGAGAGGGGCAACTGTAATAACATTTCTATTATTGTTTGTCAAACTAATTTGAAAAAATCAGACTTTGGACAGTAATGTAGCTATATGTTTGGATCCTGAAACAATAACTTCTGAAGTTCCCTTCTTATCCCTGAAATCCTGCAACACAACTTTCCTTTTCTATGATGGGCTCAATTCCTTCAAGTCCCTTTCTCTGTTCTTCCTGCCATAGGTGGATTCTACCCATCTTATGCTAACAGAACCTTAGAATTTCCAGGTTGGAGAGTGAGGCTGAGCCTTAAGTCAGCTATTGATGTTGTGGTTTTTTAATTTCCATTCTATGTAGTGAACAACTTATTTGACAAATGAATTGATTTCATCTGTTCATCTTATGCTTAATTGGGTATCACACTGCATTTTCCTAGAATTCTTATTTAGCCCCTTCATTATGATCTTCTGCAGACCTATATGTGCTATTGATCTCTTTTGTTTAACATTTATTTCTATAGGTGGTAATTTTCAAGCTCTTTGGATTTTAAAGTTCTTTTGATGACAGCAAAGTGCTTTTAAATCAACACCTTCATTTTTTCTTAAGAAAATTGAGTTCTTAAATTTTTCTATTAGGTTTTCATCAAGATTTTATAGTTATACTGAAATATTCAGAGTTGATATGTTGTCTGGGATTTGCTTCAAAATAATCTGTAGGGGGAGTGAGAGATGAGGGGAATAGGAAGTTTAATTAAAACTATGTTGGTCATGTATTGATAATTATTGAAGCTGTGTGATGGATACATTGGTTTCATTATGCTATTCTCTCTGCTTTCATGTATGTTTGAGAATTTTCCTAATAGAAAGTTAAAAATGTATTGTTAGATATAAAGGTAAATTGAAAAGAAGCACTAATAAAAGCAAACTAAAATGTCCCCAAATCCATGTTGTTAATCCTCATGTTGTAGAATACTTTGTAGTTTTTTAATTTTAGTTTTAAAACGCATTTCAATTATTACTTTTGACAGGGTTTGAAGACAGGTTGGAAAGAGGAACATCAGCTTTGCGGTCTTTGAATGCCATTACAACCCCTCTAAGTAGTGTTTCATATGAAGATGATTTTGTCTCCTCTCCAGGGAGTGGGACTTTGACAGAAAAAAAATCCTCTCTTGAACTTAAGTAAGAATATGTTGACAATATGGAATAAAATCTGAGGAGTGAGAAAAATGTACAAATGAGAACTGTGGTCTGAATATCAGTTCAATTTTGCTTGTTTAAATATACATGTAGAGGCTGCATAGCATAGTGGTTGTTAAGAGCCTGGGCTCTGGATCCAGACTGCCTGCATTTAAATCCTGTCTCTTATTATTAGTTGTTTGTCTTTGGGCATATTACTGAACATCCCAGTGCCTCAGTTTCTTTCTCTATAAAATGGGGAAAATAATAGTACCTGCTTCATAGAGTGTTATGAATATTCAGTGAAATACAGAGTACTTTGAACAGGACCTGGCACATAGTAAACAGAATATAAGTTGTTAAATCAATGTGTGAATCCCTAGTAGAGAATAGTATTGGAAAACTATCCATGGTATACTAATGTAAGAAGATTAAGAAATCGTTTTCTGTGATAGAATTGAGGGTGACCAGATAGATTCTTGACTCTGTGATCCCAAGTAATCAGTAAATTTTTTTTATAGTTGGGATAACATCTAAAATTTTGCAAAGTTTGAAAAATAAAAATATTATAATATTAATATTCACTGAGCACTTAATGTGCAAGGCACTGAGATGACTGAGGGAGTTTTACCTGTATGAACTCATTCTTTTAATAGCCTGATATGGTAAGTATTATTGTTGCTATTTCTACTTTAGAGAAGAAACTGAAGCACCGAGGTTAAATTATTTGCACAAAGTCATTTAGTAAGCAGATCAAACTTGGCTAGAAAGAATTTCTCCCCTGAATTTTGTTACAGTGTAAAACAATCTGTAATTTACTCACGTTCAGTATAACTCTCTTCACAAATTACAAATTATGATCCACATAAAATTATTGGATGATCTTTTAAGAATTAGTTGTATCTAGTTGACTAATGAAAATAAGTTATTAAAATTATAGCTGTTTTAAATTCTGAGCTCTAAAGAGAAGATTAAACTTTTAAATAAAAACTTGAAGGATTTAATTGTGGTGACATTTAATATCACCAATCAATATGACCTATTGCATTTTATTTCTGGGTTGAAGTAGAACATATTAAGTTATAAATTTGAATAGAAATTGAGGCCCCATTTTCCAGTATCCAACATTTTATTTTTTCTTTTATGGGTCTGAATTATCCATTTTTATTGGTTTCACTTCAATAAACAACTCCCTGAGATTTTTCTCAGTAATAAATTGAGCCATAGGGAACAGTCCAGGCTTATAGTAGTAAGAAAACAAAAACGAAAAGTGGAAGGCATCTTTGATTATAGTTATATTCTCGTGGTTAAATAGATTTTAAAATATCTATAGTTTTAGCTTCTTTTTTAGGACTTTTTATTTATTTCTTTAATCACTGCTACTTACTCTTTGACAGTATTGGTGGTAGCAATTTAGGCATTCAAGAGGACCATTCTAGCAGGAAGTCTGCCTATGATCTTTCCTCTGTGGATGTTACCTCCCAGCATTCATCAGGGGTCCAGTCTGCTACATCTTCTCGTTCATCTACTTCTTCTAAAGGAAAGAAAAGAAAAAAGGAAAAGATAGAATGTAAGTGGAATTCTACATGGTGACTTTTTCTCTTACTATTGATTTTGTGGTAGTGATCTAAAGTTATGATTTGATTTCATAAGAAGTTAGATTAATTTCTTTATGATAATATGTAATTAGCTTTCATATTTATCATTACAATACCTTTTGATAGATAACATTATAAATCTTTTGCTTAATACAAAAGGAATACGTTTAGGGCCGGCCCTTTGGCTTAGCGGTTAAGTGCGCGCACTCTGCTGCTGGCGGCCCGGGTTCGGATCCTGGGCGCGCACCTACGCACCGCTGCTCCAGCCATGCTGGGGCCGAGTCCCATATACAGCAACTAGAAGGATGTGCGGCTATGACATACAACTATCTACTGGGGCTTTTGGGGGAAATTAAATAAATAAACTAAATTAAAAAAAAAAAAACAAAAGGAATACGTTTGCAATGATAAAAAAATAAGGATTGTAGGTAAACAGTCGTATGAGAAATATAAATCCCCATTGATCTTTCTGCTCAGAGATAACTACTGTTAACATTTTTGGTGCCTATTTTTCCAATAAAACATAAAACCATGCTTGCAGACACATATCTTGATTTAAAAAACCGAATTGAAATCATTGTTTTGTAACTGCTTTTTAAAAAACTTTATAGTATATCATGTACATCTCTGAACATCATTAAATATAATATTCAAATTTCCTTATCTATAAAATAAAGATCATAATAGATGCTTCATATGGTAATTTTGAAGCTTACATGAAATTAACAAATATAATGTATACGTCCCAGTACTTAGCACAGTAGCTGTTGGGCCCTCTAACTATTTTTGAGTGATTGAGAATACCCTGCAGTCTCCTTCTACTCTTGACTGTAATTTGCTCTGTAGGCCTAGAGATGAGAAGATATAGTAATTAGGCAAAGACCTCTTAAACTCACAGATGGCTTCTAGGGAATGATTTTGCTTCCAAAATTGTTTTTTCTAATTGTAAAAAATTGCTCAGTGAATTAAAAAAAAAAAGTAGAGGAGGAGAAATCAGTAAATATAGAAAGCTATTTAAAAATTATCACCTATAATCCCTCTACCTAGAGGTAACCAATGTTAACATTTTTAAATTTTATTTTATTGATTGTGGTAAAATATACATAACGTAAATTTTATCATTTTAGCCATTTTCAAGTGTACAGTTCAGTGCCATTAAGCACATTCACATTGTTGTGCAACCATCACCACTATCTATCTCCTGAACTTTTTCATGATCTCATACTGAAACTCTGTATCCATTAAACAATACTTCTCCATTTCTCCTTTCCCCCAGCCCCTGCTAACCACTGTTCTACTTTCTATCTCTATGAATTTCACTAGTCTAGGTACTTCTTATAAGCAACATCATACAATATTTTTTTTTTTGTTTCTGGCTTATTTCATTTAGTGTAGTGTCTTCTAGTTTCATCCGTGTTGTAGTATGTGTCAGAATGTCTGTCCTTCCTTTTTAAGATTGAATAATATTCTATTGTATGTATATACCACATTTTGTTTATCCGTTAAACAGTTGATGGACATTTTGGTTGTTTCCACCTTTTGGCTATTACGAATAATGTTGACATGAACGTTGGTGTACAAGTATCTGTTTGAGTCTCTGCTTTCAGTTCTTTTGTGTATACACCCTGATGTGGACTTGCTGGATCAAATTGTATTTCTATGTTTAATTTTTTGAGGAACTGCCATATTGTTTTACATAGCAGCTGTGACATTGTACATTCCCACCAGTAATGCACAAGGGTTCCAGTTTCTCCACATCCACACCAACACTTGTTTTCTGTTTTTTTTTAGTAAAAGAAATCCTAATGGGTGTGAAATGTTGACATTTTTAGTAAGAATCCTTCTAGACAATTTGTAGGCATATGTAAATAAGAAACTGTTATGTGTACAGGGATCACGTTTTATAGATGCTGTTTTATTCTGTCAGTGGTTACAGATATCTTTCTCTTTCAGTAATTATGGATTACTCTTTGTGATGACTACCTAGGATTCTATTATTTGAATATGTTGTAATTTATTTAGCTAATTCCCCATTGGTGGACGTTTAGGTTATTTTTCTTCCATTATAAATACTACTGCATTGGGGCCGGCCCCGTGGCTTAGGGGTTAAGTGCACGCACTCCACTACTGGCGGCCCGGGTTCGGATCCTGGGCACGCACCAACACACTGCTTCTCCGGCCATGCTGAGGCTGTGTCCCACATACAGCAACTAGAAGGATGTGCAGCTATGACATACAACTATCTACTGGGGCTTTGGGGAGAGAAAAAAAGGAGGAGGATTGGCAATAGATGTTAGCTCAGAGCCGGTCTTCCTCAAAAAAAAAAAAAAAAATACTACTGCATTGAATATTCTTATAAATGCATGGTTCTTTCCTTTAAAGGAAAATCTTAGAAATGAGATAATGGGGCAAAGAATATGCCGTGTTTAAAATTAGGGTACATTTTACCAAATAGCCCTTCAGAAAGCTAGTGCCACTTTATACTTCCAGTATGAGAGTGCCAAGAGACATTATTTTTTAATCATTAACCCAGTATAACTCTCTTACAGGTTAGAAGTGTTCTGAAAGTCTTCGGTAGGAACATTAGACATCATTTTACCAGCACTTCTCAAAGTCTGTCTTTTCTTGTGAAATACTGATTCATTTGGATAGGCTGTTTTGTAGGTGTTCTGAGGATAAAAGAGCTTCATGGTTGCATAAATTTGGGAAATGCTTTTAGAGTGAAACAGACTTCTTTCCTCCAGGATTCATCAACACTTTTAATATGCTAATATACATTATTTATTGTAGGATGATGATGAGGCTGTAGTATGAAGTATTTACCAAATTTATTTGACCACAGAATCATTTCTTCACACAGCACGTTATGACATTAAAATTCAGCTGAATACATTTAGGGAAATGCCGATCTCGCTCAATTCTTTTATTTTGCAACTGTGATGCTTTGTTATGTTAATGTATCACTTAAGGTCACTAACTTGGCAAAGCCTGGATTCTTACCTCTGACTCCCAAATCTAGTTTACTTTCTGCTACAATATACTGTACAACTTAAAATATCATGATATATTGAATATGAGTATAAGCAATATGATTCAGTATAGGTTTTAAAAATTATAATCTAAAATGTAATTAGGTGAAGTATAGATACTGTTTTGTGGCTTTCAGTTTCCCTGATCCCCTGTCACAATGCCTTAAAAAAAACCTATATATTTTACTTTCCACAGCATCATCTTAAACTTAGTTTCTCCTTCATCCTCAAGTTCTAAAAGCAGTGTAATTTTTCTTGTGTATACTCCATCTGGTGGTGAAAGAGTGTCTGCATGCTCTGTATAAAAATTCCTTCCCAAAGTAGTTGAAAGTAGTTGGTAGACAAGTCACATAGAATCATGTGCCACATAACAATGTTTTGGTCAGTGACAGACTGCATGTACAATGGTGGTCCCATAAGATTAGTACCATATAGTCATAGCCTATACCATCTAGGTTTTTGTGAGTATGCTCTATGATGTTTGCACAACCAAATTGCCTAACGACACATTTCTCAGAACATATCCCTGTCGTTAGGTGATGCGTGACTGTACAAGGAACTCTCATAAGACCGTCAGCTGAATTTTCAGCAGAAACTTTGCAGGCCAGAAGGGAGTGGCATGATATATTTAAACTGCTGAAAGGAAAATCTTAGAACCAAGAATACTCTACCTGGGGGCTGGCCCGGTGGCAGAGTGGTTAAGTTCGCATGCTCTGCTTTGGTGGCCCAGGGTTTGCGGGTTCGGATCCCGGATGCAGACCTACACACTGCTCATCAAGCCATGCTGTGGTGGCATCCCACATACAAAAAATGGAGGGAGATTGGCACAGATGTTAGCTCGGACAGTCTTCCTCAAGCAAAAAGAGGAAGGTTGGCAACAGATGTTAGCTCAGGGACAATCTTCCTCACCAAAAAAAAAAAAAAAAAGAATACTTTACCTGGCAAGGTTATCATTCAAAATTGAAGGAGAGATAAAGAGTTTCCAGACCAGCAAAAACTGAAGGAGTTCATCAGCTCTAAACTGGCCTTACAAGTAATGTTAAAACGGGTCTTCTTTTAAGTGGAAAAGAAAAGGCCATAACTAGAAATAAGAAAATACATGAATGAAAAATATCTCACTGGTAAAGGCAAATGTTTAGTAAAAGCAGTGGATCAGCCACTTAAAAAGCTAGTATGAAGGTTAAAAGACAAAAGTAAAATCAACTACAACTCCAATAAGTATTTAAGGGATACACAAAAAGACGCAAAATATGACATCAAAAACATAAAACATTGGGAGGGGAGTAAAACTGTAGTGCTTTTAGAATGCATTCAAATTTAAGGGACAATCACTTTAAAATAGAATTATATATATAGGTTGATATATATGAACCTCATGCTAACTACAAACCAAAAACCTACAATAGATACACAAAAAATAGAGAGAAAACAACCCAAACATAACAATAAAGAAAACCATCAAACCACAAGGAAAGAGATCAAAAGAAGAAGGAAGGAACAGAGAAGGACTGCAAAAACAACCAGAAGACAACTAAAAAAATGGCAGTAAGTACATACCCATCAATCATTACTTTAAATGTAAATGGACTAAATTCTCCAATCAAAAGACATAGGGTGGCTGAATGGATAAAAAACCAAGACCCATCTATATGCTGTCTGCAAGATACTTCACATCTAAATGCACACAGACTGAACATGAAGAAATGGAAAAAGATATTCTGTGCAAATGGAGATGGAAAGAAAGCTGGGGTAGCAGTGCTCATATGAGACAAAATAGACTTTAAAACAAAAACTGTAAAAAGAGACAAAGAAAGGCATTACATAATGATAGAGACAATATAACATCCGTAAACATTTATGCACCCATCATAGGAGCACCTAAGTATATAAAGCAAATATTAGCAGACATAAAGGGAGAAATTGACGGTAATACAATAATAGTA